GGGGGGGGGCTGGTGGAATAAAGTCTGTTGCCTCTTCTTTAAACTATATGTGTACATAATAACCGATATAACAGCAGCCTGTGGTAGATGTGCATACAGTTTCTAATATAATGAGGACACAATGACGTATCAAGTAGTCAGGGCAGACAAAGTTTAACTAACTGAAACAGAAGGCAAAACAGACATGACTGGCAGAGAGTGGATTAAAGTAACCAATACTATATAAAACAGAGAGTACAAAAGAAAGAAGAATGAAGTTATGTCCTACTATAAGAAAAACAAATTATAGTGTTGGGAGAATATATCCTTTTGTAAGGACACAGCCATTTGAGTTGTATCCAGATGTGAGATGCTGGAAACCCACATCTTCAAGCCCTGGTCTGACTGAAAACTCTTGGACTATTTCGTGCTTTAGGTACACATGAATTGTGGCCATAATTACATTTTAGTGATGTTTTGAAGAAGTTCCATTCACCATTACTGAACTCATAAACTGTAAATACATAACTGTATTGTTTCGCACTGTTACACATGTCAGATGTTTGGGAAGTCACAGTGACACCAAGAGAGTGATGGAGGGCAGAAAGAGCCCAATGACAGAACTGTGTGTTAACCGCATTCTCTTTTCTCCTAGACATACAATGTGATCTCCTGGATAATATCTGGGTCTCCTAGACAAATACTTTGACCTCACTGACATATAACTTATCTTCAGCTGCTAGGCATTCATCTTATTTTCTAGATACATTCTGTGATCTCATAGACAAACATCTCTAACTCCTGGACACATGGGTTCAAATCCTAGCTAGGTACATGTAACCTCCCAGATCTCCTAGGCACTCAATCTAGTCTCCTAAGCCCTAATTTCCACGACACATACCTTGATTTCCTATAAACACATCCCCAGCTCTTAGACACATATCTGTAGCCTGACACATACCTTGATTTCCTATAAACACATCCCCAGCTCTTAGACACATATCTGTAGCCTCTAGACACATACCTTGATTTCCTATAAACACATCCCCAGCTCTTAGACACATATCTGTAGCCTCTAGACACATACCTTGATTTCCTATAAACACATCCCCAGCTCTTAGACACATATCTGTAGCCTCTAAACACATCCCCAGCTCTTAGACACATATCTGTAGCCTCTAGACACATACCTTGATTTCCTATAAACACATCCCCAGCTCTAAGACACATATCTGTAGCCTCTAGACACATACCTTGATTTCCTATAAACACATCCCCAGCTCTTAGACACATATCTGTAGCCTCTAGACCCATACCTTGATTTCCTATAAACACATCCCCAGCTCTAAGACACATATCTGTAGCCTCTAGACCCATACCTTGATTTCCTATAAACACATCCCCAGCTCTAAGACACATATCTGTAGCCTCTAGACCCATACCTTGATTTCCTATAAACACATCCCCAGCTCTAAGACACATATCTGTAGCCTGACACATACCTTGATTTCCTATAAACACATCCCCAGCTCTAAGACACATATCTGTAGCCTCTAGACACATACCTTGATTTCCTATAAACACATCCCCAGCTCTAAGACACATATCTGTAGCCTCTAGACACATACCTTGATTTCCTATAAACACATCCCCAGCTCTAAGACACATATCTGTAGCCTGACACATACCTTGATTTCCTATAAACACATCCCCAGCTCTAAGACACATATCTGTAGCCTCTAGACACATACCTTGATTTCCTATAAACACATCCCCAGCTCTAAGACACATATCTGTAGCCTGACACATACCTTGATTTCCTATAAACACATCCCCAGCTCTAAGACACATATCTGTAGCCTCTAGACACATACCTTGATTTCCTATAAACACATCCCCAGCTCTAAGACACATATCTGTAGCCTCTAGACCCATACCTTGATTTCCTATAAACACATCCCCAGCTCTAAGACACATATCTGTAGCCTCTAGACACATACCTTGATTTCCTATAAACACATCCCCAGCTCTAAGACACATATCTGTAGCCTCTAGACCCATACCTTGATTTCCTTTAAACACATCCCCAGCTCTTAGACACATATCTGAAGCCTCTAGACACATACCTTGATTTCCTATAAACACATCCCCAGCTCTTAGACACATATCTTGATCTTCTAGGTACTGAATCTGGTCTCCAAGAAACAATTCCAAAGTTCCTAGACAAACATACCAACCTCTTAGGCATGTACATGGAAATTACAACAGTCGTGACTCTCCAGTGTCAAATATTTGAATATGTAACCAAACAAATCAATAGTCACATGTCTGCTATGTGAAGTACGCTCAAGTGTTCCTCACTGACAAATGATGTTTATGTCAATAATTAAAAAAACAGCAAACTTTCACTGTTTACAATAGAATAAAATACATAAAATAATTTAACAGCTTAAACCCTCTTAAGTCTCCTGACAACAGCTCTCTTCTTTAAGATGCAGTTTGTTTTTGGAGGGAGTGTTGGGGGGGGGGGGGGGGGGGATAAGGCTTCTCTCTGACAGGAATATTATAACTAGTTTACACACTTATTTACAGAATACTCTGAAAATCTTCAGTATGTTATACGACAGTATTATGGTAGCTATTTAAAACATGAACAAAGTTACCTTTCTGAAGAGTAAGACTCACCCCTTTCTGAAGGGTAAGACTCACCCCTTTCTGAAGGGTAAGACTCACACCTTTCTGAAGGGTAAGACCCACCCCTTTCTGAAGGGTAAGACTCACATACATCTGTTTGAAGAGTAAGACTTGCAAACCCCTGTCAAAATCAACACAAAGTGGTCTGCTATCAAATATTCTGTAGTTTACCTCAAACCCCTTAAGTCAGGACTGTGAAACTGTTCACAGCCCCCAAGCCCTGTAAGTCAGGACTGTGAAACTGTTCACAACCCCAAAGCTTTTAAGTCAGGACTGTGAAATTGTTTACAGCCCCGAAGCTACTGGCAAAGAAGGTGAAACTATTAGAAAACTCTAATTTGCAAAATCAATCAAAGAAATGGGATTGATAAAGAAGGTCTAACAAGCCTGACAGGCTGTGAAACAAGGAGTGGTTAGAAGTAATGAAAGTAATGGCAAACATCCTCCAGAGAAGCTACTAGACTGTGTGAATTTACCAGCATAAAAGCATCTGTGCAAATGTTATATGATCTTCTTGTACTTGATTACTATCACTGTCTTTATCTCTTTCATGACCGTTGAATACAAATGCCCTCGTACAGAAAATTGTTCGTTAAATGTTTTTTGGTGTAATATTTTCATCTTAAAGTAGGAAAATAATAGTTAAACTATTTTTGCAGTACAATTTTTGAAATAATATTCCATAAAAAAACAAGCAAAAACATTTTTTTTAAAGTCTCAGCTGTCTAATAGTTATTTTAGTACATAAATACTGTATTATTTAAAAAGTCTTGTCTGGTTCTAAAATGATTAATGCACTCTACTCATGGAAAGATGTACAAGAGTACAATCGTTAAACAAACAATTCTTTGCTGTCATCGTAGGATGTCATCCAGCTAATAATTAAATGCTACAAAGAAACTGACTCCTAGCAGGCAGACCAACTCCAACATCATATGGCACATACAGGCAGACCAACTCCAACATCATATGGCACATACAGGCAGACCAACTCCAACATCATATGGCACATACAAACGCATAAACTATGTGATATGTCAGGCCGTGACAGCAGCATGCCTGGCTAACAGTCAAACCCATATCATTCACAGGGATACCTGTGTGCACTGCTGGTCTATCACAGAGTTAACTCAGTAAAAATGATGATGGATTCTGAATGATCACAACAAAAATAACAATAACGACTAACAACACAGCTCCAGGACTGTACTAACATGATACAAACAGGGAAAACTGCCCCCACTGAGTCGCTCTGCTATCAGGTAACTTACTTTGTTAGTAACTAACCATGCATTCACTGGTGTCGACTGAGACGACATACTTACAGTAACTTCATGTAACCCATCCCCTTGCTTTACAAATCCCCTTTGCCATATTTAGTACTTAATGTCCCTATGTGGGTGCTGTGGCTGAATATGGAGGTAAAGAACAGACCCCTAACAAGTGTTTCACTGTAATTTAATGTTTTGGGTGAAAGGTGGAGGTATCACAGACTAGCTGCGAACCACAATAGGTTTATCAACTGCTATTTAAAAAGAGAACACTGAAAAAGAAGAATTACTTTAACTTTGTCAGTCCCAGAGAGTTGTAACTGAAATACTTCCATCCCTCCACCCCAGTTTTGGTACTTCCCACTAACAGTTTTTGAGTCTTCCTGAATGAAAGTTAAAAAAAAAAAACATACCAGACAGGAAGAGCTCAAATAACACCGGGGAATAATGTAAGAGAACAAGATAAAGAGGTTACAACTATATACCTCATAAAATTATATACCTCATTTACCTAAACAAATGTATGGTGAGCTGAGGGTAATTTAAAGAGTTAAGTCCTGTCACTTATTGTGAATGTTTAACTCCTTCGGACCCAACAATTTATTAGTAAAACAAATGACTAGGATAGAATGTATTGTGGTAATAACTGTCTGCGGCTGCCACAGCTACGACCACATGGCACTGTGACTCAGTCAAAGCACAACTACCTAATGATGATTTTCTCGGACATTCATGGAGCCGGCTATGTACGATTCTGTAATTTTAAAAAAAAAAATATTTTTAGAGCCTGTTCACTAGCATATGCAAGATAACAAATGCGAAACTATGTGACTTTGTCTACATGACCAACAGTGATGTTCATGAAAATGCAGTATGTAATAAAATGTGTGTGTGGAGAAGTGAGGCAATGATACACAGTTCCTTTCATAACACACCTAACAAGTGAAACAGCACTCAGTGACACATACAGTTTGTCTGATATTTCTTAAGATGTCAAGAAATCCTCCAAGTGTTTCTTTTTTCTCACTTTGAAAAACAAACACACGTTCTCAATTCTCATTGGTGGCAGGATAAACTGTGACTTCTGGGGACTCCACTGGCAGATGGTTCAGGCATAAGAGAACTCCGGGCATGCCGCAAAACACATACCACTCCTACCGGAGGGACAAGAGAGTCCAGGCTTTTTGTTCCTGGAGGATTCAGGGAGTAGGGGGGAGGAGGACTATCACGGTCATGCACAGTTTTGTTAGGTGGTGGGCGGAATACCTCATTCTGTACCTGCCAGTTTCGCTCCAGTTGTTGCTTGGAGTGGAGGGCTTTCTGTGACATTGCATATCCCTCTTCTCCATCTGCAGAAAGAGGGATATTTGGAGGGTAGAGCACGCTGGGACTCGCGTGTTTGTGTGTCTTTTTGCATTGCCGGTGCTGTTGTGGCTGAAGTTCTGAATGTTGATGATAAATTAATTGTTGTTGTAACTGCTGGTGTTGCAAGGGCCTGCTGACCTGTGGGTTGCCCGGCGATGGTATAGCACACTCCGCACTAAAACTTAAAGAGCGTATTAACTGTTCCTGGCTCATGTGTGGGTGCCGGCTGACACTGTGAGCCTGGGTCGAACGGCAGTGGTACTGCAGGTGCTGTTGTTGTTCCACATCCAGATGCTGCTGCGGCTGCTGCAGAAACTGTTGTTGCTCCATGCAGCGTGAAGTATCAACTGCAAAGGTTGCCGTAGTCTGTCGTTGTGGATGGTGTAATAAAGCTTCATACTGTCCATTATCCTGCATGGAGTCCGATGGAGATCGACACACCTGGTCAGGACATAACAATTCAAAAATGTATCAGATTATACAAACTTTACTCTAAAATGTAGTTAAATTGTTTTCTTGATTACACACTGTTTTCTTTTCATTTGGTTCAGAATCTGAACTATGACTGCTGTCTAGCAATGAGGGTTTTCTTGCCAAGGTAGGAAAAAATTAGGGTTGTACCGAATAGTGATTTTCACTTTTCGGCAGAATACGAATAGCTGGACCAACTATTCGGCCGAATACGAATACGAATAGTGAATCATGCCCAGTGATTGCCTGTCCTATTCGGTTTCTGATCTCAGTAATGCATCTTTCGTCTGATGTTATCCATGTGCCCAGATACTTAAATTTCTGTACTTGTCCCAAAATAAAACCATTGACTTTTATTTCAAATTTAGGAATAATTATTTTCTTTGATACCACAATTACTTCTGTCTTCCCACTATTCAAACTGAGCAACTATTCGGCCGAATACCGAATAGTTATTAGGTCCACTATTCGGCCCCGAAGTGAATTTTCGGTACAGCCCTAGAAAAAATTCGGTACATGCTGGGAACATGCACTGTTTCATTGATTTGCACACAGTGGTCTTGCAGGACAGTCTTTGTGATTTGCACCCAGTGGTCTTGCAGGACAGTCTTTGTGATTTGCACCCAGTGGTCTTGCAGGACAGTCTTTGTGATTTGCACCCAGTGGTCTTGCAGGACAGTCTTTGTGATTTGCACACAGTGGTCTTGCAGGACAGTCTTTGTGATTTGCACCCAGTGGTCTTGCAGGACAGTCTTTGTGATTTGCACCCAGTGGTCTTGCAGGACAGTCTTTGTGATTTGCACCCAGTGGTCTTGCAGGACAGTCTTTGTGATTTGCACACAGTGGTCTTGCAGGACAGTCTTTGTGATTTGCACACAGTGGTCTTGCAGGACAGTCTTTGTGATTTGCACACAGTGGTCTTGCAGGACAGTCTTTGTGATTTGCACACAGTGGTCTTGCAGGACAGTCTTTGTGATTTGCACACAGTGGTCTTGCAGGACAGTCTTTGTGATTTGCACCCAGTGGTCTTGCAGGACAGTCTTTGTGATTTGCAAATGCTGTGGGGGTTTTCAACATATACACAGTTTGTATAATTGTTGTGTGTTTTTTTATATCCAAAAACCATAAGTTGTTAACCCTGTGGCATGGTACTAGGGATATCGCAACCCTTTGGCCTTGATTCCATGATAGATACGGTAAATATGGGAGAAATGTGGCTTTTCCACATACCCCCGGGCGTGAACCCGGACCACAAGGAGTTTGTCACACGGTTGCCACAAAGTTAGGTTTAACCAACTATGCTAGTAAGCCGGGCATAGCTGGCATATATAACACCTTCTATTTTGTAACAAAATCTGAAAATGGTAGGTACCTTATCTAACTACCCCTGAAATCAAGGGGATGTGTGATTTGATAAAAAACCAATAGTTTATGTACAAATTCTCATTTTTATGCTGCAGTTTGAACTAGGGCTGTACTGAATAGTGATTTTCACTATTCGGCTGAATACGAATAGCGGAACTAACTATTCAGCCGAATACGAATAGTGTATCATCATCATCAGGTGCCTTGCCGACTGGCGTGGGGAATTATGCCTCGCTACAATCTGCGATCTCCTAAGGCATGTATTAGTTTGTGTGCTGACACACCTCCATGCCATGCAACAAGACTGTCAAGAATCTTCTCTCATTGTCTTCCTCTATCCCTACTTCCACAGATCTTTCCAGTGGTCACCACATGTTCCATTTTTCCTCTTCTCATAACATGGTTGAAAAATGATGACTGTCTCCTTCTGATGTCTGTGATTAGTTGTCTTCGGGCTCCCACCTCTTTCAAAAACCTCTTGGTTGCTTTTTTTTTTGGGCTGTTCAATGTATTTTAAGCATTGTTCTGTAAAACTACATCTCTGAGGCCTCAAGAAATTGTTTGGCCTGCCTACCGATTGTCCAGGACTCACAGCCAAATGTTAAAACTGGATGTATGTAGCAAGCAAGAATTCTTGTTCTAACCTTCAGTGACAAAGATATATGGCATAAGATGTTCTTCATTATATAAAATGCAGTTATTGTCTGTCGCCTGTCCTCTTTTCGACAGTGGCGAAGAAAGATAATTTAAATTGTAAGTTTTAAGTATCTGTATGCCTTTTTTAATAATGTCACATTTTATAGCCGACTTTTCTTGATTTTTGCCACGGCACCCCTGGCTTACACACCCAATTTGAGAACCTCTGCTGTAATGCCTCGGGCGAGTCAGCAGACAAATACTTTGCCAGCTGCTGTACCACGCAACCGGGTCGTAGTCCCCCCCCCCCCTACCCTATGACAGACTTAGGCAACAGCAACTATTGTGTTAATGAGAAATTCATTTCAATCCATCGTAGTGTATGCAGAAGCTTGTGTAAGGTAACCACTATTTGTATTCAGCCCGACCGCAAGTATTTGGCTGAATATCGAATAGTAATTCGGTCCACTATTCGGCTCCTAAGCGAATACGAAGCGAATATTCGGTACAGCCCTAGTTTGAAGCACTTCTTTTACCATGCCTCACCAGTAGAAGCAAAGCTGAACAATTCTGCTACAACTGAGATTCATGGAAATAAAGGAAGACAGGGATTCTCAACATCTGTACATGACAGCATGGATTCATTTTAGAGACAAGAAGGCAGTGTGGGAGGTCTCTCAACAGCTGTACATTGTGGCACACATCAGAGAAAGGAAGGCAGTGTGAGAGGTCTCTCAACAGCTGTACATTGTGGCACACAGCAGAGAAAGGAAGGCAGTGTGAGAGGTCTCACAACAGCTGTACATCATGGCACACATCAGAGATAGGAAGGCAGTGTGGGAGGTCTCTCAACAGCTGTACATCATGGCACACATCAGAGATAGGAAGGCAGTGTGGGAGGTCTCTCAACAGCTGTACATTGTAGCACACATCAGAGATAGGAAGGCAGTGTGAGAGGTCTCTCAACAGCTGTACATTGTGGCACACATCAGAGATAGGAAGGCAGTGTGAGAGGTCTCTCAACAGCTGTACATTGTGGCACACATCAGAGAAAGGAAGGCAGTGTGAGAGGTCTCTCAACAGCTATACATTGTGGTACACATCAGAGATAGGAAAGCAGTGTGGGAGGTCTCTCAACAGCTGTACACTGTGGCACACATCAGAGACAGGAAGGTAGTGTGGGAGGTCTCTCAACAGCTGTACATTGTGGCACACATCAGATATAGGAAGGAGGTATTGTGAGAAGATTTTTAACAAGTTTCATCATAATGGATAATAGGGTTTCTGCTGTTTGTTAGCTACTCAAATGTCTGTTATTCCACGCCCTGAGCTGAGACAAAGGTGATCATAACTGATTCGAACCCAAAACCTTCAGACATGCATTAAAAAAATAATGTTACACAAAAAATATTTGGAAAGCGACCACTAATTAATGATATAACTTGAGAACTTTGGAAGTGAGCTTGTTGAGTAGTGGAACACTTCTCAAGGTAGTGGTGCATTTAGCTTATGACACTACTCAAACTTAAAGACCAGTCAACATTGTGAAAGGTGTATTAACAACATACTGGCCACTTCTACTTCCCAGAGTCTGTCGTCGTAGCCATTTCAAGCAGAGTTGATCTGCGAGCCAAGGTCAATTATAACTATATCTGCAGGCATGTATCTGCCACTTCAGCTACCGCTTTTCCTGAGGTGATTTAGACAACTGTGAAATCCTTACACTGTGTTCATTAATGTCTTAGTGACATCAAGAGAAAACAAAAACAACCTCACTGCTATTCAATAATTCAACACAAAGACAAATGACTGTTACCTCAGAACTTTGGGAGTGAGGTGGCTGGAGCAGAGGACCCCCTCCCTGGTGTGCACCATCATGGCAGTGACTATGGCTGATCATGAAAACAAGGCCAAGGATAATGATGACTCCAACAATCACAGATATGATGATGATGACCACAACTTTGATCATGTGCGGCTCATCTGTGAATCAAACAGTTACAAACATGTTTACCACACAAATACAGACACAGCTTTATGAAAATGAAACAACAATTTTCTGAACCCTGATATGGCTTGTATGTGCATATTGGAAGAGAATGAAAATGTCACCATGATCTTGAAACTCAGCAGACATGCAACCCTGACTACATTTCCATGAGGTAAAGTTTACAAGTCAGGAGAATTCACTTTGATGCACCAGGTTTTATCCCAAATGATTAATCACTCTCACAAAACAGCTAGATGCCTGCTGTGTGGATCTTGCATTCTGGAGCGTCAATTTTATTTGCAATTACCATTACTTGTATTTTTCTGCTGTTCAAACTAAGACCCTTGTTTTAACTTTCTGTTACCATCATATCCATCATTTCTTGCAGTTGTGTCACATTTTTAGTGACCAAAACTATATTGTCAGCATATTTCAGGTTGTTAACAATATGCCCACCAACCGATATTCCTGGCATAATGATCTAATTATTATTTTGCTTTACTGAGTGAATAAACCAGGTGATAATACACATCCCTGTCTAATGTATTGCTGAATGTTTTGAAAAGTTCCAGCCTAGTTGTCAATTCTTATGGTTGCTTCTTACTGCCAGTATTTAAGTATTTTAACTTTATTACATACTTTAGTGTAATCAGCAAAACACAAATACAGTTACACTGCAAACGGATTCTCTCTCTGGCACAACCTTACTTAGTGCACCTTTTGTGGGAACTCATCACAGTGAAACTGGTAGAAGAAAAAGTTAAGACTACCTGGTGTTGAAATTGTTCATACAGTTTTCTCTTTAGCATCAACCTCAGCTACACAGTTGCAGCAGAAGTTGCCAGTGGAAAAATCCCTTCAGTGTTTGGCTAAGAGTTATAGATATCTGCACCTCTATTCTATTTTGCATTTGTCTCTGAATCAACTATATATGCATGCAACTGCAATCCTTCATGATAGCTTTCTTTGTTCTTACTTTATGTAGCAATTACTTTCTGCACCTCATGACAACCACATTCAATCATAAATAACATGGTCACCTAATACTGAAATGCTCTGCGATCCCTGCACAAGATGCACAACCAAGCTTTCAGGGTCATTAAGGTGCAGTAAAACTGCTGACAGATTACAAAAAACTACTTAACAACCAACAGCCGCCTATGGTTGAGACAACAAGTATGACCAAAAAAGAAATTACAACAAATGCTATCCATCCAGTGATTTAATAAAGACATACTTCAGCTTAAGTAATGTCCTGGAAAGTGTGATGCTGACATCATCAGCTACTGAGTGGACATCATCAGCTACTGATTGGACATCATCAGCTGCTGAGTGGACATCATCAGCTACTGAGTGTTTTTGGATCCATATAAATATGACTTCAGCATCGTATGCCTAATGTGTCACTGGTACAAAAACATAACTTTTACTTTATAATAGTCTACGTCAATGTCTGCCCAGTGGTCACAGATCTGAAACCTTATTAACGAAGAAAGATTATTTCAGAACAAACAAGCCAAAATCTATCGAACTGGAGGATTCGTAATCAAAATGAACATGAACAATAACTTCGCAAACAAAAACACAATAATCAATTAAAAAAAATTTTAAAACAAGCATGCAAGCTTGCAAACATAAAAAAATATTTTAAATAATAAAAGATATTAAAAATTTATTTACAGCTAACAATGAAAAGAATATTCTTTAAACACACACACAAATAAACAAACACGAAAACAAAGAATGGGAAAAAACTATGAAACAACCACAAACGATTTAGAGGAAGAAACGTACCATTTTCTTCATGCTTCCTGGCTAGGGCACATGCATTATTATGTTCATCGGAGTGATCCGGGCAATCAATGTAGCCATCACAAAGCTGTTTTTTCGGCAAGCACAGATGATTGTTGCAACGGAATAGGCAGTTCGCTTCTGCTGAGAGAAACATGTGCATAAATAAGCCCTGGTTCACTGTGCAATATGACATTCATCTATATAGGTGTGTGCTTTCAGAAACAAGGAATTCTCCCTTCACATTGTACAATGACATTATTTACATATGTATGTATCTAACAGTACAGGATTGATACTGTCCCGAACAGTATCACATTGACACTGTTAACAGTATCACATCAACACTGTTAACAGTGTTGTATTTAACAGTCTATAACAGTATCACAATGAACCTGTCTCTAACAGTATTACAATGAACTGGTTTTTAACAGTATCACAATGAACCTGTCTCTAACAGTATTACAATAAACTGGTTTTTAACAGTATCATAATAAAACTGTTTGTAACAGTATCATAATAAACTGGTCTCTAAAAGTATCACAATAAATCTGCCGGTAACAGTATCATAATCAACCTGGCTCTAACATTTATCACAGTGAATCTGGCTATGCCAGATGAACACCCAATAAACATCTCTTACAAAATAACGAATCGGTCTCTTCTTCTTTTGTCATCTCACTGACACCAGCTTGTAGCCCAGTGGTTTCGTGTATTTATCTAGCGCTTCTCTGTGGCTTGAGTAATGGATTTGTTCATCTTTTTGTAGATTTCAGCTACACCTTTTATCCATATTTTTTTTGGTCTTCCTCTTGACTTCATCCCAAATGTTCTACTGTAAAAGTCTAATATGCAGTCTGGTCTGGTCGCATTCTCACTAGATGGCTGAACCATTTAATTCTCTGTCAATATAATTGCATAACTTTTCTTGCGGTAGGAATCTGTCCTACCCCCCCCCCAAATCTACGAATTTGGGCCCCGGTAAAAAGGTACCAAAACCCAAATGGCACAAAAGGGGGGATAAGGTCGCACACACCGGGGTGCCATTCACCCAGGAAGCACCCGGACTCACCCCAGGAAGGGGCGACCTGGGAAACCCAAGGGAATTTTTTGGAAAAAAAAATCCCTCCGGTCACGAAAAAAGATCTCATTTTTCCCCGAATTTGTACCTTTTAATAAGGGTTTTTGGTTTTAAAAAAGGGCAGAATTTTTATTTACTCTGCGCTTTTTCCTATATTACTTTCCCCCCGTATTATTTTAAAGTTTCCGTCCCGTCCAGGAAAAAAGCGACTCCGTCCTTTGGGAAGTTAAAAAAAATTTCACCGGGGCTAGAGAATTCCCTTTTACATGCCCATGTCATAAAGGTATCTCCGACCAGGGCGCTTTTGAAAAAGATTTGAGAATAAAGGGGGTTAGGTTTTATTTCTCAAGCCAGTGTATAAAGTTATTCCCAACACAGCCCTTTATTGGGGCCCTTTTTAACAGGGGAATTGAGCCCGGGCCCTAGGGGCCTGAGGGGGGAGAAGTTTTAAAATTTTAAAACGTCAGTGAATTTGGGGAAACTAGAGGGGCACTTTAAAAAGGTTTTTTCTAGGGAAGTCAGTCCATAATTTAAAGACAGGCCACGTGTTAGCTAATTTTATTTGATAGGTACTTCGGAGGGGGGAGGGTTAAAACCAAACATCTTGAGGGTTGGGGAAAAAAAATAAGGAAAAGGTAAAGGGGTTTAATTTGGGACAAAAAGGTAAACTTTTACGGGGAGCCGTGGAATTTCCCCCCATTTAAACGCAGGGTGCCGGGAAACCAAAAAGGCGCGTAAAGGTAATTTTTGTCTACTTCCCGGTTGGGGATAAATTTGGGGGGTTCCCAAAGGGAAAAGAAAATATTAATTTTTTTTTTATATTAGGGGTTTGGGGGAAGCTTTGTCTATACTACCTTTTTCCCAACTT